TGCTTAGTAAAAAAAAAAAAAACAAACTCCCTAATGCTTAGTTAAAAAAAAATCCATAATAATAACCAACCCATTCATAATAAGGGGTGTGTGTACAGAGATTTTCCCAACCCAGTGTTACTAGTGAAGTATATATATAACTCATGAGAAAAAACACCACACTCACTTATAATATTTCACAAATAGGTGCACATAATGAAGGAATAAATCTTGGGACCAATGTCCTTGAGAGCGCATATTTGCTCCTCCCCCATTGCTGACTGCACGCTCACCACCAGGTCCTTCCCCTCGTTAAAACCTTCTTTGATCTGCTTGACCGTAAAAGAAAAACAAAAAAGAAACTACTCATCAAGTGATACTGTGAGTAAGTAGTAATTTAGTTAACTCGTTTCGGGAAAAATATCAACGACCATGTTAAAGGAAAACTCGAATTTGAATACTTTGGTTTTTTCTTGCTAAAGAGGTTACCTGGGTGAGAAGGTTCTCGTCAGTTGGAAGCCTCAAGTCATCTTTGGTATTACCATTTTCAGTCAGCAAACTCACCTAAACATTTGAGAAAGTGAGGTGAGCTATAGGGTCCGATAAAGTAAACCGTAATCAAGTTTTTTTTTTTTTTTAGTATATTCGTACAAATCCGTCTTAAGAGATGTCAATCAGCTGGTAATCAGTTCGAGTGACGTGGGGAACCTATATAATAACAAAAGGAAAAAAAAATAGAAATAAATGACGAATTATGGGAGAAGATTGTAATAAACTTATAATTAGCCCAAAAAATGAAAGGAAAATGAAAGTCGTGAGGAATGGATAAACTTACATCACAGTTGTGAGAGGAGGGGACTATATCTTCCAGCTTTTTGCCGGTGAAGATATCAATGGCGACAAAATGACATTTAGCATGACCGTGCTTTCCCGTTTTAGAAGTGGAAACTTCAACAACCTGTCGGTAAAGAGCACTTTTCGTAGTTAAAGATGTTTCAAACGTGAAATACAAAAATCAGTTGACGTTGTTAACTCAATCAGAGAATGCTGCCAAGACAAATGGTCACTCAAGTCTATGATGGCGAAAATGATATTGGAACAGATATCACTAACGAAACTCTTGAGGGAAAACGCTATTCGATCACACTAATTCATCTTCGCTCAATCAAAAGGAAACTAAAAACCAAATCACGAATCATTATTTCACAATTTATACATCAAACGAACTTTCGTCATTACATTCTTATCACAAGTCCAATCACTCTCAAACTTCTTTCTTCTTTATTTCAGGTGTTTTCCTTTCTTTTCATCAACACTCTCTCCAAGGAGGGAAAAAATCGATAAACAAAAGCACTGCATTTCACAAAACAACTATGTATATTTGTTCAAAAAGTACGACGGATCGACACGTCTAACTGTTTTTGATCCCCCCGAGCTATCATAATGGATGAACCAGTTAACAAACACCATATTAATCAACTCTTGAGCTGAAGGACGGACCTTCTGAACAACATGTAATTTTGGAATCACTCTAAGAGTTACATCAATCAATCCCTAATCGATTCAATTTCAACTCCTTCTCCATGTTAAACAGAAACAAACGGCCAAGCAGCAGATCCCAAAATTATAACCCAAACCCAAATACAACACGCAGGCAGGTCCGATTTCTAAAATCATGGGGTCTCTAAAATACAGAATATAAATAAAGAAACAACAGCAGATAAAATCAAACAAAAAAGAAAAAAAAAAAAAAGAAGAAGAGACCTTGCAAAGGCGGGCTAGTTTCGTAACGGAACTGTAGCATTCCCAGGGCTCGAACACGAGACCACTGGTTAAGCTGGAATAGACCCAAGCCATCTCATCCAATCTCTCCCTCAAGAGTTTTAACACTACTAACATAGCCATCGATGCATGTTATTCAAAATTAAAATATCACTCAAATTTCCACTCAATCTTCATTATTCAATATTAATTCATCAGCACCAAAAATAATATTCGGTGTATGTGTCACAAGATCCATCACCATTCACAATTTACAGCACAGAAACAGTTCATCAAAGCCTCCAAAATTCCAATGAACATAAGTGAAGAACTCGTAACATAATTTCTCCCTTTTTCCTCCCCCAACAGAACAAACTACATGCATCGATATACCCGAAGAACGAACAAACAATTATGAACCGGTAGAAAAATCAAAATTCATCGACCCTGATCGCATCACGAGGCGTGTCGTAAGCATCCTTCGACCTCGATTTCTTCACGCCCGCCGTGAACCAAACCTTATCCGACTTGTAGCTCTCGACGTTCACGCTCGTGACTTTGACCCACACCAAGACTTTGGTCTTCATACCCTCGATCCCTGTGAGTTTACCTCTGGACAAAGTGGCCTTCACACGGGTCGAGTATCTTATGACAGACGAGTCCTTGAAGCACACCTCGCATGGGGATGAAAGGTACACCACCAGCTTCGATTTTATCTCGTCAAATTCGTAGCATGTTATGTTCTGAGGGAAAAGGCCTTGTGGGAGATTGTTTTCCCTGAGGAGATCGGGCAGGGATTTAGTTGGCTTCCCTGTGAATAAAGGTTAATTGAAAAATAATGAGAGCGAACCAAGAATCGTCATGGGAGCTCGTTGAATACTTTTAAAAATTTCTATAGTTTAAATCATGAAGAATATCCACCGAGCATATTTTCGAAAATCGCTATCGTTCGATGATCTGTAGCATAAGAATACAGGATAAAAAAATGACAGCATGCCTACCTTTGAGCTTGTTAAAAATCCATTTTGCTTTCTCTTCTACAGTGTTGGAAAGTGTCTGGAATATGACAAACATAAGAAGTACAATTAAAAGACCAACATTCCTTCAAAACTGAAAAAATACACAGTGGCATTAACACAAGGGGCTAACTGCAAGTGATACAAACATTTTTTCAACCAGTTCAATTTCATTTCTAATAACAAGCATTTTTCCTTTTATTCATTCCTTTTCGATATCAATCTGTAACAATTGAAACATCCAAAGAGCAAACCGAGCACAACAATATTGAAAACATGGGCAAGATTGCTCATCTCATAAGTAATTGCAAAGTAAATTAATCTCAAGCATATACCTTACCAGGAAATGCTACGGTCCCGTTACGGAACCATTCCGTCGGGATATGTAACCGTTAGATCAACTATATCTGACGGCATGATGATAAGACGGTTACATGATGATCTAACAGTTACAAACCCAGAGGAAAGTGGTTCCGTAACGGGACTAAAGCATTTCCCATACATTATCATCTAAAATAGAAATAATGTTCGAAAACCAGAGACGAGCTCTACGGGCACCATATCACCACCACCAAAATTCAGGGAAAAAACAATCGCAGCACTAATAAGAATCCATCCAACTCAATTTCTACCAAATCCAGCCTCCATAGCAAAAGCCCCATCCAACATATAAATTCAAAATCCAAATAATCCACAAATCATAACTATTCTCAGTTACTCACTCCCATTTTAAGATCCATTAATGAGAATAATGACACAGATCTTCAACTAATCCAACCAAACGCACCCCCAATTTTCACCACAATCACCAAACAAAAATCCACAAAACCCCAACACAATAAATGCAGTAAATAAATGTAACAAGACAGATTTGTGTTCCATTTTAACGAAAAAAATCTAGATCAATGCAGGACAAAATCAGGGATGAACAAAATTGAAGAGAGAAGGAAGTATCGTACAGAGAGGTCTTGAGAGATGTTGGAGATTTCTTGTTTGGCTTTCTTGGAGACCCAAAACGTGCCTGCTTTTAGGCTCCCAACTTTCACAAGGGCCTTCTCCATTTTCGTCCTGCAGCTCAAAGGAAGGAGCTTTTTCACGGTCGAGTGTGTGTAGTTAGCGTCTTTCTCACGCGCATTTATTCTCCATTTTTTTTCCCTCTCACACCAGCAGTAGTGTGTGTTGTGTGTGTCACACAGCTCATATAAGATTGGCAAATTTGGCCGCATTATAGACAGAGGGATTGAAAATAACGGCGCTCCCTCATTATTTTTAGGCTTTATGAGAGGTTTTTCACATAAACAAATTATTCCTTCGCAGTTTCGACTCGACTCGACTCGACTCGATTCGATTCATTCATTAAAATTTAAATATTATAATTTTACGCGAAATTTTTAGTTTAGTTAGTCAAAACTCGAGTTTGATTTATCAAAATTTGAAAAAAGAAATTTTAATGTAGTTCTGTTTAACTCCACAAATTAAAACTTATGTTCAGATCGTTAATATTGATAAATAAGCCGAGTAATAACTTGATTATCGACTCGTTTACTTAACTTCAAATCGATAAAGGTTTTTGCTACAGAACTGACTGTTAAGAGCCCGAGCTCAACTCAGACTCATTTACACCTTTATTAGGATTATTCAATAACATTTTTTTTTTATCTATTGTGCAATATTTATCTCCTTGAATTGTAAGTGCAATAATTTATTTTTTTTTTCGCAAAAAATACTATTCATTTCATCTTAATTTTTCTTCTAAAATTCCACCAATACCATAAGTAAAATAAATATTAATTATAATTATATATTTTTCAATATAAAAGAATACTATTCGTCCACGTTTGTTATTATCCATCATTACTAATCAATGTTTTATTACTAATATCAGTGTTAATCCTTACATATTTATCTTATATCTAGTAAAAATCTTAAATACATCTCATATTTTTACTAATAGTTTTTCTATACATTTCCATCTCATTTTCTAATTAGACATTTTTTTCTGAAAAAATATATTTGTTAGGTCATTTAATTTATTTTTTTTTAATCTCATATTTCAACATTGTTTTATGTTTTAATTCATTCTTACATAATTTTTTTTTAATTATTAACACCTTATATAAAGACAAAAGTTTTTAATTAGAAATTTATGTATTATTAAAAAAAAAAATGTATATCACTAGCTGTTGAGATTGAGAAGCCAATTTTGGGCATTTTCTGGTGAAGACATAAATAAGGTTTTGTGTGTACAAATCAGGGTTTTATAAAATCTTGTACGTTAATTTAAGAAATTGAGTTAATTGCTAATAGTGTTGTTTCTTGTTTGATTTGTGACTTTATCTGAATAATTTTTTTTTTATTATTATAAAGTCAATTTTTGCCAATTTATAAAAATCTAATTATTGATCTCCTTCTATATACTTTTTTGACCTAATTGTCATAAAGACCACAACAATTTCCATTTTTGCAAATAAAATCAAACTTTTTAAATTTGAAAATTATATACACGACATTGTCTTTTCCATTCCAAAACGAATCATAAGGCAAACGAATCATTTTTCTTCTACTTTTTCGTCGAATCAATCTTAATTATTTAATTATAAATATTTTAATTTCAAACTTAAATTTCCACTAACAACTAATCATATCCCATTTTCAAAATTATCCCTGATTAACATAAGGAATTTAGATAAATGGATACCATGTGTGTTGTCCTTTTTTTTTTTTT